TTCTCTTTTGCCACCACAGCACGGCTTGATGAGCAGTATGTAGGTCCATACCCTGGATCTGAACCCGTGAACCCTGGGCAAACTTAACCCCTACACCACTGGGCCGGCCCCAAAATGGTAAATTTTATGTTGGGCATATTTTACCACAAGAAAAAAATATATAAGCCAAAGGAAAAAATAAAAGAACACAGCATTTTCTGAAGATCCAGATGATTTTTTTTAAAAAAATCTAACTTGTAATTTGCCTTCAATATGTCTGTATTTGAGATATTCACCTTCTAGTATTCTAAGACTAAAAGAAACCTAATCCATTAACAGAAATAGAGTTACTGCACAAAAACAATGACAACACAACTCAAATACATACTAGAACACAAAGCCAGTGCTTAGTACCTGTTGTTTCGATCTTTTAATTAATAAAGGAAATGGAGGTTATGTGACGTTGACATCAAAAAGAATAATTTTTACAGTTTTTACAAATGTATGCACCTGTGTAGCCACCACACAAGCATGTTATTCTTAGCATATCCACTTTTGAGATTCATCCATGTTGTTATGTGTTTGTCGTTGTTTATTGTTGAGTGGTATTCCATTGTATGGAAATACTCAATTTGTTTATCCACTCACTGGTTGATAGACACTTGGGTTATCTTCATTTTGGCTACCATGACTAAAACTGCTATGAATATCTTAATACAAGTCTTCGAATAGACATATGTTTTCATATATATTGGTAAATACCAAGGAGTAGGATTCCTGGATTGTATGTTAGGTATGTATTTAACTTGATGAGACACTGACAAACTATTTTCTCAAGTGGTTGTACTGTAAATTGTATTTTAAATTCCCACCAGCAATGTATGAAAGTTTCAGTTCCTCTACATCATGGCCAACATTTGGTATTACAGATAGTCTTTTAAATTTTAGCCATTCTATTGGGTGTGTAGCACACTGTGGTTTCAATTTGCCTTTCCCTAATGACTAATGATGCTGATTATCTTTTCACGTGCTTATTTCCCATCTGTATTCCTTCTTTGGTAAAGTACCTGTTCAAATCTTTTGCCCAATTTAAAAAATCAAGTTGTTTGTTTTATTGAATTGTATGAGTTCTTTATATATTCAAAATGCAAATATATATATTTTTACCAGTTTTGTTGAGATAAAATTCATATACCATAAAGTTATACATTTAAAATGTACAATTCAATGGTTTTTATCATGTTCACTGAGTTGTGCAAATATCACCACAATCTAATTTGGAACACTTTCGTTACCCCAAAAAGAAAACCATACTCATTAGCAGTCACTATCCATTCTTTCCCTGCCCCCAGCCTTAAACAACCACTAGTCTACTTCCCGTCTCTTTAGATTTGCCTATTTTTGACATTCCAAATAATGGAATAATAGAATATGTAGACTTTTGTGACTAGCTTCTTTCACTTAGCATAGGTTTTCAAGGTCCATCCATGTTGTAGCTCACTACTTCATTCCTTTTTATTGTCAAATAATATTCCATTGTACGGATATACCACATATGGACATTGGGGTTGTTTCCACTTTTTAGCTATTATAAATAATGCTGCTATGATCACTGTGTACTGGTTTTTGTGCGGACTTATGTTTTCATTTCTCTTGGGTATAGAGATACATGTTTGCAAATATTTTCTCCCAGTCTGTGTCTTCCCTTTCAATTTTCTTAACTGTATCATTTGGAGAGCAAAATTTTAAATTTTTATGAAGTTCAATTCATCAATTCTTTTCTTCTATGATTCACCCTTTTTGTGTCTTATTTAGGAAATCTTTGCCTAACCCAAGGTCACAAACAATTTCTTATGTTTTCTTGTGGAAGATTTATAATTTTAGCTCTGATATTTATGTCTACAATCCATTTTGAAATAATTTCTGTGTACGGTGTAAGGTAAGCATCACAGTCATTTTCCCGCATATGGATATCTAACACCAGCACTATATGTGAAAAGATGATCATTTCACCATTGGATTATTTTGGCACCTTTGGCAAAAATCAATTCACTATGAATGTGTGGGTCTTTTCTCAACTCTTAATTTTGTTTTCTTGATCTATATATCTATTCTCACGCCAATACAACTCTGTACCGACTACTGTAGCTTTATTGTAACTCGAAAAATCAGGTACTATAAGTCCTCCAACATTTTTCTTCTTTTTCAAAATTGTTTTGCCTACTTGAAATCCTTCACATTTCCATATAAATGTAGAATCAGTCTGTAAATATCTACAATTATGTGGCTGGGATTTTCCTTGGAATTGTATTGAATCAATAGATACATTAGGGGAGGACTGACACCTTAATGATACTGACTTTTCTGGTCCATAAACAATATCTCTTCATTTTCTTTGCATTTTTAATTTCTTTTGGCTGTTTTGTAGTTTTCAGTGCACAGGTTTTGCCTATATTTTGTTAAATTATTCCTAAATATTTCATATTTTTGGATGGTACTCTTTTTTAAATTTCCATTTTAGTACCACTATCAGTATGATTGATTTTCATATAATGCTCTTGTATCCTGTAACCTTGCTCTCACCTTTTCTAGCTGCTTTTTGTAAATTCCTTGTTTTCTACATAGACAACCAAGCTGTCTGCAAATAAAAACAATTTTACTTTTTTTCCCCCTACCTGTATTCATTTCTTTTTCTTGTCATGTTGCACCTGGTGGGACCTTCAGTACAATGTTTAATAAAACCATGAGAGCATTCTTGCCTTGTTCCCAATTTTAGAAGGAAAGCATTTAATTTTTCACAATTGCATATGATTTAAACTAAATTTTTTTATAGATACCATTTATCAGGTTGAGGAAATACCCTTCTATTCCCAGATTGCTAAGAATTCTTATGACTTGGTGTTGAATTTTGTCAGATGCTTCTTCTATACATATTGAGATGATCATATGGCTTTTCTTTTTGCTCTATAAATAGGATGCATTGCATTAATTGATTTTTGAATGCCAAACCAACCTTGTAATCCTGGGATAAATCCCACTTGGTCATGATGTATTTTCCTTTGGATACACTGTTCAAATTGATTTTCTAATATTTTGTTAAGGATTTTTGCATCTATATTCACGAGGGATATTGGTGTGTAGTTTTTGTTTCTTATAATGTCATTGTCTGGTTTTGCTATCAGGTTAATGCTGGCTTCACAGACTAAGGTGGGAAGGGTTTTCTCCTATTTTCTGGATGCATTTGTGTAGAACTGGTACAATAACTTCCTTAAATGTTTGGTAGAATTCACCAGTGAAACTATCTCGGTCTAGAGTTTTCTTTGTGGGAAGATTTTTAACTAGAAATTTCTTTGATATTGGACTATACAGGTTATCTATTTCTTCTTCAGTGAGTTTTGGTATTTTGGGTCTTCTAAGAAATGCATCATTTTCATCAAAGTTGTCAAATTCCTTGGCATGAAGTTTATAATATTTCTTTTTTATCATTTTATTCTGTATGCTCTGTAAGAACATCTCCTCTCTCATTCTTGATATTAGTAATTTGTCTCTCCTTTCTTTGATCTATCTGGCTAGAGGTTTATCAATTTTATTAATCTTTTCAAAGAATCAGATTCTGATTTCATTGATTTACTCTATTGTTTTACTGTTTTCTATGCAATTGATTTCTTTTATTATTGCTTCCTTTCTTCTTGGTTTGGGTTTAATTTTATTCTTCTTTTTCTAGTTCCTTAAGATGGAAGCTTAAATGATTGAGTCCTCTATTCTATAAGCATTTAACGTTATAAATTTTCTTATATGTACTGCTTTTGCTGCACACTACAAGTTTTTATATGTTGCATTTTCGTTTGTTCATATTTTATAATTTGCTTTTTTTACCCATGGGTTACTTAGAAATGTGTTGTCTAATTTCTAATAATTTGGGGGGATTTTTTAGATATATGTTATTTCTAGTTTAATTCTTTTGTAATCAGAGAAAACACTTCGCAATTCTTTTGAATTTGAGAGTTGTTTTATGGCCCATAAGATGGTTTCTTTTCATGAACGTCCCATGTGTTGTTGGGAAGAAATGTGTGTTCTGCTGTTATTGAATGGAATGTATTTGCTCACTAGAGCAGAGGAGCTTCTGGCTTTTTTTAGGTTCAGGGACAAAGTCCATTATTTTGATTGTCCTAATATATCCTCCCATTGATCTTAAGAGGAGAAATCTGCTCTAAGTTTACATTTTTATGTTTTCAAGGCTAATTTCAAGTATGCACACATATCTGAGAAATCTCACGCCCCTCCTTTTCTTTTTCACCATGTTAAGAAACGTATATTGGTCTTGCTGACATCTTCTACTCATATTCTTTAAGGCCAGGCTTGAGTTTAAATGTAGATAGTGTAAGCTATTTCTACATGAGATGTGATACAGTCTAGTGAAGAGCATGGATCTTAGAGTCAGATAGGCCTGTGTTCAAATCCTTATTCTGCTACTTAATACATATGTATTCATGGGCACATGGTCTTTATTTATATTTTGTAACGCTTTCGAGAAAATTTTGATAACAGCAGTGAAGCACCCACGCATGGCACGAGTAAATAACATATGGCACTGCTGTTGCTGTTATGTGATTTGAGGGAATACTGGGAAGGGTTCATCTGTTTTCCTTTCCAAAACTTCTCTGATAATGCCTAGATTCCTTTATTAGTCATATATCCATGATATCAAACATGGTAATCATAGTATGAATGCCTCCTACAAAGGGTTACTTATTCTTATTTCCTAACCCTACACAGTGAATTTGTTTATTGGATAGCTGTTCTCAGTAACTGAAGAAATGAAGCAGCACAATGTTAACGAGCACCTAGGAATGTGAGGCCCTAGAAAGGGAAGTGGGTCCTAAAATAAAGAGAGTCTACAAGGATTGGTCCTATCACTCCTACTGGAGGCAGTCATATCCACAGGCCTTGAATGCTGGTGTCAGTACCATGAGGTTAAGTACTAGAAAGACATCCAGAAATAAACTCTCATATCAGAACAGTAAGGTAGTAGAAAAAGAAGGAATAATTTACTATTTGTCTATTATGTCTAGTGTTTAATAGGACCTGAATAAGAAAATTATTAAATTGCTGGAATCATTTAACACATATATTCTGGGATTAGAAGCAAAAGAGTAGTAAAAACATAACTGTTTACATGGAAGTTATATTTTCACTCAAACAATTTTCTTGCACTCTGCTAGGCACTGGGGATGTGAGAGCGGCTATGGCAGACAGGGTCCCTGTTCCCAGTGGGAAAGGAATATGAGCTGGGATGAGAAGGGCCCAGGAGCTGTGGGAGTGCAGAGGAAAGGCATCTCAAACCCAGGCTTCCCTTAAGTGACCCAGAGGATGAGAAGTCATGGGGTCAAGAGTGGGGGGTTAGGGGTTTCAGGAAGAAGGAGCGACCTCTGAGGAGGCCTGTAGTTGTCAACTCTGACCTTCCTAGAAATGTTTAGCCACAAGAAAATCCAAAATTTAGTGATGAATGCCTAAAACATTTAGTTCGTTACCCAAACTCAGCCCAAGATAAATCAAGTGCAGGATTACAGCGTAATATCCCATTTCACAGAGAGTTTTCCAAAGAAAATCTTGATAGTGATTAAAAGAATGACAGCAGGTCAGGCTTGTTGATGCATTTTATTGTGAGATGGGGGCGTCTGGTAAAAAACTAGAAAATGACCATGGTGTAACAAGGAACTTAAAAATGAAGAGTCAGATTTGTAACTTACATACATGAATACAGGAACAAATTGGCACAAAATGTTAAACGTTGTTCCCAACACTGTTTATATAAGGTTATCCTAATTTGGCTTACTAAGGAAATGAGGGTTTTATGGTTAGGCTAATCTCTTAATAAAACTGCAGAGCATCATGCTATTAGTCACACAGTGAATTTCAAAATTTAAGAGTTTTATATTAAAAACTGGGTAAAGGTAAAATGACTTGATTGTAGTTGTAAAACTAATACATTCCCATTTAAATTCTGTTCTACAGTCCAAGGCAAGTATAAATGTTAACGTAACACTGTTAAATCAAATCTCAATGCAAGAGAACCAATTGCATCTCTACTTTAAATCTTATCAACTTTCCAAATTTTCATACTAAAATATATTATTGTATTAATACAAACTACAGTATTATACACTACACCGTGTAATAAATAAAGAAATATAAAAATAAGACACATAAATATAAAAGTTTTCTAAAACTAAAAGTACATATGTCAGTAAGAAGGGTATTAATACTGCCAGGTTTGAAGACATACAGTACAAAAATGTTGCACAGATCTATAAACTAAAAGAAATAAAATAATACTGATAGGTAAAAATCAGCTAATGTTAATAAACTGGGTCCATAATAACTAACATTTGGAAACAGTTATGAGCCAAATAACAATGGCGTGTCCATGTGTGAAATGCAAGTACATGGATAAAGCAGATTAGAAAATTTCCCTTTCATTTCTGTAGAGAAATTCTGAAAGTCAATGAACACAAAATGAATACTGAGGAAATACAGGATGAAACGTCCCAGTGTTTCGGTTTCTCTGACAGAGTCAGTGGTTTGAAGTTTTATTTTGGAATTTTAATACAACAAACAAATCAACAAATGCTAGTTATTGTAGGCCATACACTGAACGAAGGCGGGCTAGAGCCTTGAAAATACTGATAAATGGCACTTACAGCACACAGGTCTTGCTTAAGGCCCAAGGGATACAAAGCTTCGTGTCATATCCTTCATATTTGTTACCACGTACTCAAACACAATTACAAACACTGATTCTGACGACTCCGCTGTCCTCGCCAGCATGAGCACTGTGAGTCCCTGCAATGAGAGCTCGACAATCTCGTGAACTTCATTTTAAACCACATGAGTAAGAAACTTCAGTTCTTCTATCAGCTGCTTTCTTAAGGCTAACAATACACTTTAAATGATAATATGCTCTACTATGACATCTAAAGATTAGAAATTACTACCTTCTAGACTGAATTTATAAAAGGTAGCGTGGTTTGGAACTGCATTATACTTGTCTGTGAAGGGAATTTTGTAGTGCAGAAGTTCTCACATTTTAAAAAACATAATAAAATACTGAAGCGGATTTAGCATATGTTTACCAATAAAAAATATAAAATTTCTCCCAATTGTACAGCTTAAGAATAAACCAACATAAAAGTGATAATTAATACTGATAAAATGAAACAATGCCAGATGCTTATCTAATTTATCATTTTCCTTTAACCTGTTAAATCTTTGCTTTCTGAGTCATTAAAGTTTTCTAATCTGCTTCATGTTACAAACTTTTCCTAACTTTGAAAAATGCATGAAAAATTACTGGGTCTGAGGTTCAGGCACACCTGGATTTTTTTTTGTGTGGTTTTGTTTTTTTTTTTTTTGTATTTTATATTTTTTTAAATTTTTACTTTACACAGTAGTGAACAGAAATCACAGTATACAGGTTACTGTGTTTCCATGAAAAGCATGTATAATATAGAACAAACTTCATTACCAATTAGAATTTCTTTTCCTTCTAGAAAAACGATTAGGCTTCATTTGTTTTTTCTTCAGACACCTGCTCCCTATTCTCGCTTCCTTTGTGTTCTAAGCCGCTGGCTTGGTTTACAGCTCCATCCTCCCTCATCGGACCCTCAGTTTTTGCTCCTTCTCCCTCATTCTCGGCCTCTTCCAGCTCTTCTTCCTCCGCCTCTTCCTCCTCCTCCTCCTCTTCCTCATCCCCTTGTGGTTTTTCACATTCTTTTTCTTCTCGCAGTTCTCCCATCTCTTTATCCTCCTCCTCCTCCTCCTCTTTTTCACTGTCTTCATCCTCTTCCCTCGTCAAACTCTCTCTCTCATCAGAGTCGCCCTGCGAGGGAGAGGCCCTAGCGCCTCCGTGCTCACTCGTCAGGACTTCCGCTCCTGCCTCCTCCTGCTCCGGGCCGTCTCGTTCTTCTGCTTCTCTCTTGCAATAGGAGTAGCGATGATTCATGTGTTGAGAATAAGACCCCGAGTGTGAGAAACGCTTTCCACATTTGTCACATTGATAGGGCTTTTCTCCAGAATGTAATCGCATGTGTTCAATCAAATGATGTTTGTGTTTAAATGCCTTTTTACAGATTCCACACTCGTGAGGTCTTTTACCTGCAAAATAAGAACACAGCTATGAAATAATATGGTGGTATGAAGCAAATAAAATCTTCATAAGGCTTTTGAGGGCACTTCAGGTTGTGGAAAGGGTTACAGATTCATTTTTCAGAAACCGTCAGGTTCACTGACATACCTGTGTGTTCATATTTATGTCTCAATAAGGAGCTACTCTTTTGGAATATCTTATCACACAAATCACACGCATACATTCCGTTTTCCGTCTTTCGCATTTTCTTTTTGGGCGGTGTAGAATCAGAGTCATTCTGATCCTCTACGTTTGATACTCCTTCTGAGCTAGTGTCTTGCCTTTCATCCTGAAGGAAAAAAAGGAATAAGAAAATTTAGTTTAAAATTAAAAAATAAAGGAGACATAAATAAAAGTATGGGTTAAAGAGCTACTTTGACTTATACTTTCAACAATTTGACCAAAGCAGTTCATCACTGCAGAAGGGCTCCAAGGGGGTTAGAAGATAGGTGGGGTTGATACAGACAAAAGGTGGGGGGGCATTACAGTCACAACTATAACAAAAATATATGGTCCACTGGTACTAAAAAGAAAGGACACCAAAAGAAAGAACATAAATTGTGTAGTAACAAAATTTACTTAGTTCCATATGAGTCATGACTTTATGAGAATCTGCAGGAAGTTTTAACTTATGAGTTCGCTAAATAATCACTAATTTCCACCTGCATCATTTACCTTCATTTTTTCATTCTGGGTTTTACTAAGCAAAAATTAAGATTCTCTCTTTTTAAAGGTGGTCTTTAAATGTATCTTCCAGAACTTTAGAGTTCTATGAACTAACCTGCATGGTCTCCTTGAAAAGAGAGAGGTTTGCTCTATCACTTTTCTAAGGAGCAAGATGGAAAAACAACGCGGGTGGGTCTACATTTTTAAATAAGAATGCTTGCTAGTCAAAATGAATCTTGAGAATTTCAGTGGAATAAAAACATTTCCAGCAGTCTCAGGGAGATAATTTTGGCAGGAGGCTCTCGTGTAGGTAGAATAATCCTGCAGGAAGCCTACAGTGAAACTGGGTCCCCTAAGATCCTTGTATCTTCTCTAAAGTCTTCCACTCTACTGCCTCTAACCCCACAAATTTTCTCAAAGTTCAAAGGTTTTTCACATTTCTTCCAGCTTTGTAAGGCGGGAGAGGTGCAGGCATTTGTCTGGGTCATTTGTGAGCTGCCAATGGGTGCTCAAGTAACCAGACTCCACTTTCACTGCTGTTTAATCTAGTCTGTGATTGAAGCAACGCTAGTGGTTCCTCCTTTATTATTCACAGTGTGCACAGTGTTCTACTCACTAAAAATTTAGATGAATTCACTGGTCATATGAAAGTTTCTTTCAAGAGTTATCACAATTACAGGAAACCTAACTGGTAGCAATATTTAAGGGGAAAAAAGCAGCACATTTGAACAGGATATTGTAATTATTTTAGCTGTTACCTATTTATAGTAAATATTTGAATAAAAGATAAAATTTATCTCTAGTATTCATTTTATTCAATCAGAAATCGATGGAAAAAATGGGGAGACATCAAGGTTAGTGACATAGAGAAAGCCTGGACAATGTGACACACAACAGTCACACAAAATGGCTCTATCCAAAACTATCACAGATTTGGGGGGAAAGTTAAAGAGGAAAATAAATATACATATTCACAACCATATTTCCTCATATATATTAATTATGACTGAAAATTTTAGTTTATAGCTCATAAAATGATCAGTAAATTCACTAGATGACTTCTTTGTATACTTGATTCTTGTTTAAGCCTTTTATAAACAGAGGTGTTACATAAAAAGTGATAGCTAAGTTTGCCTGGTGTGAAGCGTCTGTGAAGGGAGACATATTTTCATTTATTAATGTTCATAATCAAGGCAGAAACTATTACTAATTTTGGGAATATAACTGTAAAAACAGAAATCTAATTAGTGAATATTCCAATTTTTCTTTTCTATTCTGTTTCTAGCTTCAAATAGCCAAGTCTTTAGCTGAGACATGAGTCATTTTTTACAGCAGAATACACTTTGAACTTCAGTTGATAACTACACCTTGGATTAGTAAACAATGAAGACATGGTGCCCCAAAAGTGAAAGCAAACATTCATCTATTTCCTCTCAAAAATGACAATACGTAACAACCTGCTTGGCTCTGTAGTGACTGATTTTTATTAGAAAAAATTCACTGAAATAAATCAAACCAGCATTTTGCCAAACAGATCTAGGATGGGAGTGTTTTTTTTTTACCTGATTTCCATTTGGCTGGATCACTTTCAAGGGTGGTTCCTGGACTGCAGGGCTGACGGTAGTCGAGTATGTGTAAGCCACTTGGGGAATCAGAATAGTCTGCTTATTGGCAGCTAGTGCTCGCAAGCATGGAACACTGTTCTGGTCAGCAATGGCCACGATTGTGGGTAACTGGGCAGTGACTGTAGGTATAGCAATATTTATGGGGTTGGCACTTGGTGGGATTACATTTACAACTGGTTCTGAGTCTGTAACACAACTGTCCTTTTGTGGCTCCTTTTTTGCACAAGACAAGTTCAAGGGTTCTTCCTGGACAGAATAAACACTGTTCTGGTAAACACTAGTGATAGTTGACCTTTCCAATAATTCTCCCTGTTGCTTTGGTAGTGAAAGATCAAGAGGTTCTACTTGTGGCTCTTCCTGTGCACCTTCTGCTGTGTACAGGTAACCCTGTGCATTTCTGGATGAGGAAAGGTTTAGAGGTGATGGGGATGACGTACTACTTCTGGAACCACTGATGGTGGATCCCACTGGTAAAACGGGAGAGCTAGTTATCTTCAGAGGACTTTGTAGATTTACTGTGCTGCCCTGGGATCCATCTGCACTTGTAGATTGAGGCTGATCGTCCTTCTCTGCAGGGCTATTTCCTCCGCCTGGTTCAGGAGAAGAGGGTTCAGAGGACTGCACTGAAATCTGTCCAGCTTGCATCTTTGCAAACCACTTGTTGACTACGTCCAGCGGTAGGTTTACTGAATCAGCAATCTTTGAGAGCTCTTCTGCACTCGGTTGTGCATTCAAAGCGTAATATGCTTTCAGAAGGGACAAGAGGTTCTTTAAAGGTGGCTGACTGGGAGACAAACTGCCATCTCCAGAACCCGAGGAAACAGAGGCCTCGGGCTTCTCAGCTTCTGGTGCAGGGAGTGGAGGAGGCTGAGCAGGCTGCTTCAGGTCATAGTGCTTTAATTCTGGAAGTGCATTAACATCTCCTGGACAATCGTCACACAGAAGGCAAGTGCTATCATTCACTCCTTCAAAGCTTTTGTCCTTTTCAGATTTAACAGTAAGATCTTCTGGTAACTTTTCACTTTTGCAACTGTTTGTGGGGACTGGATTTTCTTTTTTTAAATTTTGAGGAACAACCTGAAGTTGGCTAGGCTGCTCAAGGCTGTAGTTAATGATAATTTTGGTTGTTCCATCTTGATCAACTAAAGGAAGACTGATGGCTGAAATAACAGAATGGCCACCTTGCTGTATGGATGAAGCACTGATTGTTTCTTGTTCTTTGGATGCAAGATTGGCTTGATTATTCTCCAAAACTTGCCTTATTACATTACCATCTACTGCCACTTTAAGTACATTCTGAATATCACTTAAATTGATACTTATGGGAGACACCAAACCAACTGTTGGCAGAACAACAGCTTGCACCACACCCTGAGGAGAACTGGTTGCCTGTAATGGGCCACCACCACTAAAAACCCCATTTTGTAAAGGGGTTGAACAGTTGATTCCTGAAGCAACCACTATGGGCTTGAATTCATAATCCACAGGTTCAGTTTTAATTTGGTTTACAGACAGTTGTTCTTGAAGGGGCTTATTCTCTATCTTTTGCCGTATCTGTGGTCGTGTGGGACTGCCTGGTGATGCCGAGAGAGATGGTGAGGAACACTGAGACGTCTTGAGTCCCGTTCTTGGCCGCCCGTTCACAGGCATCAAGCTGATACACTTCTTACTGCTTATATGTGAGCTATAGGAACCAGAATGGGAAAAACGTTTCTTGCAGTTTGGGCATTCATATGGCTTCTCTCCTAAACAGAAAAAATTATACCCATAAATTTCTTTGTATCCACATTTTCCCTAAAACAAGCAATATCAATTAAAAAGAGGTTACCAAGTATGCTTGTGAAATAATTTTATTTAGAATCATCATTTTAAGTTCAAAACCTACATAGATGTTATAAGCAGTAGTACAACCTTCGTCAGAACTACATGTGCTAATGAATAAGGAAATCTCAGCATATGTGTGTAATATTTCCGCTAACCTTTACAACTTCAAATCATTCTCAAATACCAAAAATAATTACATCCTACTCTTTCAAGTAATTTTTTCTCTTATCCTGTTTCACAAACCTATGTAATTTTCTATATTTCACTCTATTTACCATCTGTAGGCGAAATTAATATTAGAGGAAAGAAAAGTAAGTAAAATCTCCCATAAGACTTAACAAGTATGAATGTCTATCCTTCCAATATCCATAAGGTTTCCTTGAAAAGATCTTTCTCAATGGGAAGAAAACTTTAAATATAAGGTATTGCTATAAGCCTTGGCTTACTAAACTGAGATGTATGTATTCCTGGAGATATAAGGCAACGTTCTAGTGCGTATGCAAAGCATCATGGAGTTTCAATTTTAGTGTCAATGGTTATGGTAATTTAAAATATTATTTTTATATTAAAACACAGATCATACTATGTTGCACAAATCCAACATTTGTGTGAATTGTTAGGGAAAAAAATACCATGTCAAACAAGCTTCTTGCGTGTAGAAACCTCCTTCAAGGTGTTTCCTTAGACCTTCCAAAGGTCCAAGGCATTTATTATTCTTGGCCATTAGGGACATGTTGGTAGAAAATTTTGAGAAGCACTGAGCTAAACGGAATATTTTCATGCAACCCTGATTTTTCACTTTAGTTTTAATTTATAGTTCACTAACTACAGACTATCAGTTTCAACGATAGGAACCTCTGGGTCTCGTGTGCCATTTTCCCCTTGCACCTATTACACTGCAGGTCACAAAGATGCTCATTAAACCTATTTTAGGTGAACGATGGCTAATTGTAGAATTATGAAACGTAGTGATGCTTATTTATCTACTCAGTATCAAAATAAAGCTCTTTCTCTCCTCCTTTCTTTTTAAGAATTAAGACGAATCACAATGAAACCAGTGAGAAAGTCAAGTGTAAGTTCTGCTAGTAATGTAACTTCAATGTTGTCAAGTTTAAAAAAAGTGAGGTACATTTCCTTAGAACCGTGATTATTTGAAGAATTAGATATTAGAATTGGAAGGGATCTAAGAAGCCTTCTAGTACAGCCTCTTCTCAATGAAGAGTTCATTTTATCTCATCCTTGACATTGGCCAGTCTCTCCTTAAACTCCTTCATTAAAAGGAGGCTATTATCGGCTGGACAGCTCTACAGAAGAGGGTCTAGTCTGGTTCTGCTGAGGACCATGGATGTGGGTTAAGATCCTGGCTGTCACATACTATTTTCTTAACTTCCAAGCTTCAGTGTCTTGGTGTGTAAATAAATGTAGATACATCCTCACTGGATTGTTGTAGCAGTTACAAGAGATAATATAGCAAAACTCTTGGGGTGCTCTCAATAAATGTTAATGATTCTTCTAAAATGCACTTCTACTGGGATACAGGTTCAGCACAAGGCCAAAATCAGCTTGTTAGAACGCCTACTTCCCAGTCCTAGTTTGCCCTTTGGATCCACACAGAGCAAGTCCAACTTTCCTTCTACAAGCCAGACTTTCAACTGATGAAGCGCTGTCATGTGTATCCTTCAATTTCCCTGTGTAGGTTAAATATATCCAGGTCCTTCAAACATTCCTCATGGGACATGGTTTTCAAAACCCCCACCCGCTTGTTAACTCACCTCTGGAAATTCCCCAGTTTATCAATCTTTCCAGTGAGATGCCTGAAATATGATTCAATAGTCCAAACGCATCAGATAAAAATTTCCAGTGGGGGTAAAACAAGGGATATGTTCTAGTATATCTCTATTTTAACATTTTTAATTATTTGATAACATTTTTAGATGAGCTCCAGGCTGTTCTCCTGCTCTCTAGGTTCTCTTGCTCACTAGGAAAATAAGCATCTATAACATAGATTATTTTCATCTTTACACAGGGAGGTAGAGGAGCTCAGTGGGTAGAGTTTGGAGTCAGGATGCCTACAAGAGAGCCCCAGCTTTGCTAGGTACTAGCTGAGTGACTTTGGACAAGTTAGTTAAGCTCTCTGAGCCTCCATTTTCTCATCAGTAAAAACGGAGGAAAGAGTAGCACCTCCTTACAGGGTTACTGTGAGAACTACATGAGTTAATGCATACAAATAACTAGAATGTGGCTGTACATAGTTTAGTGTCCAATAAAGGCTTGTTATCATTATTATTATTGTTGGGAATTATCCTGATATTTTATCATTGCTAGAAAGAAAGTCTGAAGAACAATTATTCTAAAACCAAAGTCACTATGTTTGTTAGAAAACACCTAGTTTCTAACTTCACAACTTTATAGTTTATAGCACATCACCTAATTCATCCACTTAGGTTAGTGCGTGCCACTACTAAACCCTGGAGGCTACATCTGCAGTTGTGCCGTTCAAAGTTAGATGTACTATGAATACTGAGATTATTTTTAATGGCTGAGGTGGGTGTTTGGTTGCATCTGATGTAAAACTTTTCCAGGCTAAAATTACTAGAAGGCCATGGAACAAGCTCCGAGTCATTTTCTGGGGAGGCTCGTAGCCCCTGTGGCCATGTGCAGTTGCTCTCTTGTCTCACCTCTGAGTGGAGGTGTGGTGGCCTTCTCATCATAGCTCAGCTCCCAATGCAGAGCTCAAAGGATGGTACACACAGAATTCTGCACAGGGCTCATTTTAAGGGATCAGAAGAAAGCAACAATCGAAGTAATTTTAGGGAGTATAATTGAGGACCCTGATCCTCAATACCTATTAAAAACTCAGCTGAGAAAAAAAATAACAGAGGTTTCCTGAAGGATATGCTGTTCATCCATTATTAGATACACTAAACAGTGCTTTCAAAGTTATCTATAGTGAAGGACCACTTGGTTTTTTCATCTTTTGTTTTAAATTTCCAATCTACTGTGGACCAATATTGTGTAAAATATAATGAAACTGTCACAGCATTGTCTTGATAATAGTTTCTAAATGCTTACTCTCAGTTTCTGTATTTATCTCTTCCAAAACCAGTAACAAAGAGCTTGGTACCAGTCCTGGGATGACACTGCGTAGCCCTGCTAGGAAATCTTCCCTTGGAATAAACTAGGCCCTCAGACACCTGTATATTTCGACTGTGTCCAGTGGCCACCCTGGAGAAATGCTTTTTCTGAATTGCTCTTTGGTGAAATATCACTGGCTTCTATCGAAGAATCTTATTTTAAAAAGAAAACCCCCTCCCATTCTCTGCTGTACTATTTAAGGATATTTCTGAGTATGATACAAATTGTATTTTGTTCTTTCTTCTTTATGATGCCCTTAAGGAACAACTTTCTCTATGGACTTTGTATCAGGAAGACTTGCGCTTTTGCAGCAATGGATGTTTTTACTTACAGACACTCTGGGTCTTGGTTAGTGATGGTAGGTTTTTTTACTTCCTAAGCCTTATAGTCTAATTTGTGGTCCACTCTAAGATGTGCATGGATTTCACAGTATTCATTTTTTTCATGTTTATGTCATGCCAGTCTTACTTTCTTAAGTTTATTTTTCTTATATATTTTTCAATTAAAATTTATTGCTGTATTAAAGGTATACAAGCATCATATTAAATAATTTTAAGAATGAGCCAGATATGAATACATAATGAACGGACAGTGCAGTGTACAGTGGGAGTTTTGTGTTCCACGACATGGCCTACATTTGCATTAGCTGTTCAAGCAGCAGCACACTGTTAACTTACATAAAGCTCCTGACTATCCAAACCCTTTTTCTGTAGGTACTACTAAAGACAGTAGCTCCCTACTTACTATTTGATTGATACTGATTTTTGAATATCAATGCAGGATTTTGTGATTGAACATCAACTTGTTGTTTCTAGATCTGTACTTTAATCTTTCGTACAATCTATGCTTCCCAATTTTTATCATCTGTAGATCTGATAGATCTTCCTACACAACTGCAGTACGACCATGTGACATTCATTTTGTACATCATTCTTACATAAGCCTTCTTTTATTTTCTCCTCCACCCCAATTTCAACGTTTTTTAAAACTTTTGAATTAGCTATATCTCTATCAACAACTTCAAATCATCTCTGATTTGAAGCTAGGTTGTTAAAAATATATTATCGATTAAAATTGCTCCATTGCACAGGTGCTAAGAAATACGATCCTGTGGCAGGCCACAAAAAGACAACCTCTACTTTCCAGAAACTGGAAAGAAATGATATATGAAAATAAGTAAATGTTTTTGTAAGAATCTTGGTGTAAGCATTTTTAAGTGGTAACTTTAACATTATTTAGCTCTCAATGAGCAATACAGTAAAACTTCCAGAAATACAGTTCCAAAATAAAATATAGATATCACCAACCACCCTTCTTCACAAAGCTACCTAACTGTACTTTTTTGTAGGATGATGTTTGTAAAATGCAAATGTCAATACAATAATTTTCACAAAATAAGCAATGTGCAGATATCTATAATTTCACATTCATTGGCTAACAGTTCTTTTTCATTAAGATTATTTAAATCTAAAATAACATCAATATTAATCAGGAGATGAATAGATTTCATAGTGCAATGTAAGATGCTATTTTCTCTATAGGTTCTGTTCAAGTAGAGCCTCTAAAGAAATGCAAATATAGCTCTCTTTGTTTATAAGTTTCTAAAATAGACATAATATTTTTATCATATAATACTATTTTATGATTTACAAATACAATGATTTAGAAGATGACATGGAATAGAAAGGTGAAATGACGGGGGACACGTTCTTCTTTTCAGTTTTCATTAACGCTGCAGTTCTCTCTCCCATGCTGCCCTCTCGCTGACTCTACGTCTCCCCTCACCATTTCCTATCTGGAGTTCCATCTCTACTTCTCTCATGTAAAGAACGTCTTCATCTCCTTGTTTCCTTGTGCGAATCCTACCTCTACACTCTCTTTCATTCCCTTGTTAACTGTGCAAAAGAAGCAACGAAATTAACATTCATCAGAAAGCTGAAGTGTTTTTAGGTTATACCTCTTGTTAAAACATGCTATATTCTGATTAGGAAATTTGGAGTATGTCTTTTTATATTAACTTGATATACTCTAGTCAAAGATTAAGACTCCAATAAAATACCATTTATAATCAGAAAATTTCTCCAGATTAGTCTTTATCTAAAAGAACAGCAGAGAGTTTCTGATATGTGTGTAGATCACATGTTATAGTACATATTTATCACCATATATGCTATATTAAAGGTGTAGGAAGAAAACAAATATTTACCACTGTGGATTCTTAAGTGCTCTTTTAGATGGTGTTTGTATTTGAAAGCTTTTCCACATTCAGTGCACTTGAATTTGCGATTACCCCCAGACTGCGTCACATGTCTCTGTAAGAAAGAATTGGTATTTTATTTATAAAGCAAAAAAGCTTTAGATAAAGAACATCCAATCTGCTAACAGGAATGTTTTGGTGATGATTTTGCTTCTTAAAGCCTTCAAACTGTAGCACTTACAGAAATCTGTCGCTTGGAATATTACCAAAGAGGAGGGTGGCAGTGGGAACAGAATTTTGACAAAGAGAAAAAGCTCCACTTTCTAATTTAAAGTATCAGAATCATACCTTACTGAGAAATATAGTATTTAGCAAAAATAATATATACTTTACGAGGAACTAGAGATTATCTCGTCTGCACTCTAACTTACTGAGGTCAAGAACATTCAGGAATCTGTGTAAAGCAGTTACTAATGAAGAACAAGGTCTCCCAAAGAAAAGAAAAGGCCGGGCTTTTCCAGTACCTCATCCTGTCTCTTATATGTTTGATATTTCCAAAATGTACTTAAATCTAATGATTTTAAAAAATAGTTCCATCTTTTTCAGTCAAATATGGATTATTATAATAGCTTTCTGTCTGGTTTATCAAATCCCCACTTTTATATATTTCAAATCTATTGTGCGTTGTTAGATTAATCTTACAAAAGCACTGCTTGAATTAAATTGTATTGAATCCCGCTCATAAATCTCCAAAGGATCTCCACGACGCCTCAGTATGAATTCTGAGTCTATGGATTCCAAGTTTACAGCCCCTGAGTTTCCGGGCATGCTCTTCCCCAGTTCTCTATAAGAAGTCCATGCCTCAGTCACTTAGTGAGTCTCAGTTTTTTTGCACATATACTGCTCTTCGCTATCTCCTTGCTTTGGTTTATACTATTCCTTCTTTCTTGGCTATGCTTCCCCTTAATTATGACGGTTAAGCTTCTACCCATCCTTCAAAGGCTTAACTCAAGTAGCACTTGCTTCATGCTCACCCTAGCTGGAGTCTCCTTCTTTTGTCTTCCATATAGCAAGGAAAGAGAATGAGTACTTCCTATGTACAGGCCCTAGTTCATCCAAATCCATGGTTTTAAATACTGACTATATGGTGACAACTCCCAAATTTCTATCTCTAGACCTCTCCCCCCACCTTCTAGACTCTTACAGCCAACTGGTTCCTTGATACTGCCAGTTAGAAAGCAATGGGCATCTCTCTGTTAACATGATTAACACTGAACTCTTAATTTCTCTCCTGAAAATCAGCTCCTCCTCTAGAGTTTATCTTTGTAAATAACACCCTCATTTATTTATTGTTTAGGCCCTGAACTTTGGAGTAATCCTTGACTCCTCTCTTTCTCTTACACTCTTACTCAATGCATCAGCAAGCCATCTGAATATATTCTGAATTCAACATTCCTCATTATGTCATGTCTGTCACCACCACCAGGTTTAAAGCCACCCCACTTCTGGCCTGGATTATAGCCATAGCCTCTAAATGGTCTCCCTGCTTCCATTCCTGTTTTTCTTCATCTATTCTCTACCCAACAGCCAGTGTTCCCTTAAGAATAAAAAAATAAAGATAAAATTTCACATCTTTCAAAGGCTTCCCTATCACACTTTAGAATGAAATCAGCAGTCTTCATCACGGCCTGTACAGGGGCTACACCCTCTGGCCCCGACACCTCCCTGGCCTCACTCATCCTTCTCCCCTTTATTCACAGTGGCCTCCCTGCTGTTCCTTGCTTCTGCCTCAAGGCCCTTCATGTTTCACTCTGTGCCCTTTTAATGGAATGCCCTTCCCCTAATCATGCCAAGACTAGCTCCTTCATTTCATTCAGGTCTTAGTTCAGACGCCCCATTCTCAGAAAGTTTTCTCTAACTTGTAAAAAAAATAACAGTTTTAATCACTTTCTGTCCTCTTAATACTACCTGTTTTTATATTTTATATGTGTTTTCTATTACCTACTGACAAATGCCCCCCACTGTCAGGGACTTTGCTCGTATTTTTCACTATTGTGCCTTTAATACCGAGAACAGGGCCGGATATGTAACAGAAACTCAAATATTTGTTGAATGAATAAATTAACAAGACATGGAAATGCTTATCTTTAAGCTGTGGCATAATTTTCAAAGGCTAGCAAGATAGACATTCTACTCTTTAGTTTGCTTCCTTGTAACCTAAGTTGTTTCCAAGACCTCCCAATTATATTTCCTCACATTATTGGTCCCACATATACCACAGCTCCTTACTGATCTTAGTCTGACCACACACTTCATACACAAAACTTACTACCTTTGCACCCATCAGAAAAATCATCACGAAAGCGGAAATGAAAATGAAATATTCATTTCACGCTCGTTGGAGATCTTACGATTTGTTTTTATACTGGCATCTCCTGCTTTCACAAAACATCCATACGATCCATCCTTTGGAGATCCTTTCCTCTGACAAGGGCCTTTGCTACAGAGAGGTTATGGGGGCAGCAGTTGCAGGATGGGTCTGCTTCCCAAATGTCACATGAATAGGCTCTTTTCCCAAGGCTCGTCTCTACTGTGGTCACGTCAGGCATCTAAGACGGAAAGGCACTCTTCTGTATCGTCCCTGACAAGATTCTTATAGGGGCAGATGGTAAATAGATGGTGTTTGTCTTCAGCAGTTTCTTCTCCGTATCAACTTCTTCCTTCTTTGGTGCTCTTTCCCATTTTAAGGGCTCCTTCACAGACTTAACCACTAACCTATCCCAGGAAATCTTGGTCTGATACTTCCTGATTGCTACCCTCTCCCACTTTATTTTGTTATTGTTGCCAAAGTCCTGAGAAGATAGGTTGATGCTGTTTAATCATTCTGTTTCTGTTATAATTTTTTGTTTGGTTTAGCCATCATCTTAGCAAAGGGTTTAACTTGTTCTCTATGGGATATCTGACTTATATTAGGCACACACATAGGGCAGAGTTCTCACAGATTCAAGAATATAAATATTGATACTCCTTTGATATCAGAAAATGGACCTGTGCCCCAACCACAACATATACTCTTAACATACCCTGGGCAGTTGAATATTTATTTGATTTTTAAAGTTAGAATTAAGTCAATATTAATTTGATTATTCATAGTTATCAGTACCTTATAAAAGAAGGACAACTGGTAAAAGCTTCTTTGACTTTAATCCTTAAGTATAAAGCCAACAGTTTAAATGTAACTTATGCTTACAGAATAGCCTTGGTTTATGCTTTTAGAAATGGAGGCAAAGTAACATAGAAGTAAAATAAATCATATGAAAATTGAGTGTTTAGAATAAACATGATTTAGAATCTAAACTTTAGCTTCTTAGAAGACTCTTTCCTTACTATAGGAAAAAGAACATGGTAGCTTATACTAAGAATAAATAAAGTAGTCATTGGTTCACAGAAAATTAAACTTTATTATTATTTGACTTTCTTCTCTATTTGGTCAGTACTAAGTCATGTGGTTTATGTAAACAATATTTATTTTTCCTACACTGAAAATTTTAGTAGAATGCATTTTGAAATCTAGTTATAAACTTAAGAGAAATATTTGTTATAGTATAAGCAAAATAATTAAATCGAGATGAAAGGGATCTTATCTGAAATAGAAAAAAAACTAAGTTACCTCTAAAATAATGTTCATATGTGCTTCTTAACTCAGAAATGACCAGATAATTCAAATAAGTAGTCACTTTAATTTTTATAAGGCTGCAGATAAGACACTGTCTAGTACATCCTGTTAATTTTTAAGTATATTTAAAGTATATTGCCTTCCGTGGAGGGCTGAGTTCTCAAAATTTGGAAAGTTGGTGACCTCTCAGTCATTCCACTTACTTGATCTCTTCCTGATTTATGTGATGTCATGTGACGTTCAAGTTGGGTTCTGTATGCAAAGGTGTAACTGCACAGGGAGCAACTAAAGTTATCTTCATTCTTTTCATGGCGATATTTAATGTGTTCTTTCAGAGAGGTAAAGCGTTTATAGCCTCTATCGCAATATGGGCAGGTGAGTAACTGGGAAAATGCATCTGGTGTTCCTGTAAAAGAAAGGTCATATAGTGTATACAGAAGTCAAAATATAATGATGTACACGTGAAATTTACATAATGTTATAAACCAATGTGACTTCAATAAAAAATAAATAAATTTAAAAAGAAAGATCATATATTTTAAATGTAAAACATTCAAAAAATATTGCCAAAGCTACCACTGAGTCCCTATGCTATGTGCCAGATATCATGTTACACACTTTATATTTGATTCTCAGAATAATACAATGATATACATATCTATTTTATAAAAGAGAAAATGTAAGGCTCAGAAAGGTTAAATAACTTAAATGTCACATAGCCAGTAAATGATGAAGTCAGGATTCAAATGTGTGCTGTCATTTTAAAGTCCCGTATCCTTTTCATTAAACAATAATTCTTTCCTTCTTTTGTATGGTTAATTAGATAAAGAAAACAAAAGTAAAATTAGAATGTAGGTTACATTTGTAAATGTATACATATTAAAGGGGACTCGAACACCATAACAGACTCTTTCTATCGGTAACAATGTCATCTGTGTAACGTTCAATCTTTGAAAACGACACTATAAAGTTATTGTCATCACAGTAAGTAGTACACAGACTACGTTTCCCAGACTCTCTTGCAGTTAGGAGGGGTCACATGAGTTCAGACCAAAAGAATGTGCACTGGCAGAAAGGAGTAAGAGGAGCCAGATCTAGGCCTGGCCCATAAAGACCTCCCGTGCATGGTTCTTCACTTTCTTTCTTCTACTAAAATACACTGACAAACTTTCTGTACAATTTTATATGGATGAATATAGGATAGCTTTCAGAAAATAAAGGCATTATGGATAAACTGGAGTTAACCATCTAACTCTCACAATCCTAAAACATAATACTACTTTGCCAATTAATATTATTTAACTAAGAGTAGTTTTCCATATTTGATTTATTTCTTCAAAGGAGTAAGTTCCTAAGTGACATCTTATTGTAAATATCATCTCTAGCTTCGTTTTGAATTTCTTGTAGAAAAACAGACTACCAAAGAAAATTTCATAACAATCTTCAAATGCTTCATAAACATATATTACCCTTATTGAAATTCAAGTCCATATAGATTAAATGTCTCGCTCAAGGACCAGCCTGAAAATAACAGACTGAGCACCTGACTCTATATATCTAGTTAAATATATTAAAATATGTATAAAATATATGAATAAAACCCAATAACCAAAACCCCCAAAGTTTATGATGGTATCTTTTGTTATTAGCTAGCAAGTTAACTGGAACCAGACAGTTTTCTGTTGGTGATGACTCTAATATGACTCACTTCTTTGGGAATTAGATTGGCCACATGAGGAAATTTTTTGGAAATCATGTTATGTTTTGTCTAGTATGAATTTCCTATTTGCACCAGCAAGTGGGAAATCAACATTTGGGACATTGTCCTTGCCAGACTGCCTAGTCCATCCTATTGATTTTAGCTGGCCGTAATGGCAAAAGTCAGAGTCCACCATTGTTGGAGTTCCATTACTGGTACAACCACAATGGGATTCCCAATACTCAGGCTGCTTATACTCCAGTGTCATGGAGCTGTCTGCTCTTATTATGTCCTATTTTCTTCTTCACCTTCATGATTAACCCTTTCAATTAATAGACAAAATACTAATAATTTTATAAAATGACAGGCTGCTCATGATATTTTAACAGCAAGTTATTATTTTCATAAATCAGTATCTACTGAATTTTCTCACACATATGAGATATGAATTTATTTTTTTAGGCCACTCGCATAACACAATGAAAAGTAAATCTGAATATCTGACATAAGCAAGTATAGAATGAACAGGTTTAAAAGTTAAAGGAAAATTTTTCTTTCTATTTTTGAAAAATATTGGATTTTTGTCTTTTAAAAAATCACTTTTTAGCAATGAAGGCTTGTCATATAAGAAAAAAGTGTTTCTTTTTAGAATTCCTATAATAAACTTAAGGCAACAATTCAATACTACCACAAAAAACCAACCTATGTCTGACCATTTTTTGAACTATCTATAATTTCTTTACATATCTGTGACCATGAATATGCTTACTTAAAAAAATTCTTTAATTTTTGTATCCTAAACTTCCTTTGGCAGGCAGCATAACATTTCAGACTGATAATATTACTTGATATAAAACCTTTGAAAAATCTCCTTTCTTTTTTCCCCACTGATTCAGAATTTGTGATAATCCAATCTGCTGGAGTAAAGTCTGCCCGTTCATAACCTGTGAGGTGCAGGAGGGCATATTTAATGTACTAAAACTTTAAAAACTTAAGAGCTGCTAAAGATAATAACTTTTTATATGTAAATAGATGTTGCTGGTGTGACAGAATATCTACTCTGAAATACTTTGTTAGCAGTTAAATTACATTATATACCTGAAAGTAATGAATACCTGAATTAAAAACATACTCTATAATTCAAATGTTTTTACTAATTCAAAATGTTTAGGGTCCCAATTTTTATGAGATTTTACTGTGTTGATTTGTAACGAAAGACTTTACAAGGTTTACCTTTATTTGATCTACACAATGGAATATTTCTTTAGTTTTCATTACTTTCTTTCACTGAGGCTTTTTAAAGCCTTTTTGTTACATAAATATTTCACATTTATATACATACATACTTTAAAATTTTCTATTTGCCTTTCATATTTATTGTAACCTACTGCTTCTTCAGGTGAGATGTTAACACTTTTTGTTTAAGAGAAAAAAACAACTGAGAAATGAAAGTAGAAAGGGTAGGGCCTTATAGGATTACAATGCCAGTAACTACGGACTTTCCAAATATGCAAATAGATCAACAGAAAACTAATTATTAAGCTGAAATGCAGTGCCTCTAGACACAACAATCTATAGTTTTCAGAAATGCGTCCTTTTGGCACGTGGAGGAAACAGTTCTAGAGTACCCTACTTCTATTTCCTTTGTCATGATTTAGTTATAGGATATTCCTTCTATTCTAGAGTGAAAGTTGTGTTTATGCTCTTTTTCATAGCTAATTCCTGATTTAAGGAAAGTCAGTTGACTCTTTGCAATGGAATCTATTTTGTTTTCTATACCATCCTTCTCAATTTCCCTCAAAAATTTAAAAGTTGATTGATATAATACCATTTAATTAACAAAAACCAGCTGAAATACTTAGGTATAAATCTAACAAAATTTGTATGATGTTTATATAAGGAAAACTACAAAACTCTGATGAACAAAACAAAAGAACTAAATAAATGGAGAGATATTACATGTTCATGGATAGGAAGACTCAATATTGTCAAGACGTCAGTTCTTACCAACTTGATCTACAGATTCAATACAATCTCAATTAAAATCCAAGAGAGTTATTTTATGAATATTGACAAACATTCTAAAGTTTATACGGAAAGACAAAAGACCCAGAATAGTCAACACAATATTGAGGGTGAAGAACAAAACTGGAGGACTGATGCTCCCTGACTTCAAGACTTACTACAAAGCTATAGTAATCAAGACTGTGTGATATTGGTGAGAGAACAGACAAAGGGCAAACAGAACAGAATAGAGAGCCCAGAAATAGATCCCCATAAATACAGTCAACTGATCTTTGACAAAGAAGCAAAGGCAATACAATGGAGCCAAAGACAGTCTTTACAGCAAACATTTAGAACTGGACATCCACGTGCAAAAAAATGAATCTAGACACAGACCTTACATCCTTAACCAAAATTAACTCCAAATGGATCACAGACCTAACTGTAAAATGTAAAACTCTAAGACTCCTAGAAGATAACAGGAGAAAACCTATACGATCTTGGGTATGGTGATGCCTTCTTAGATGCACCACCAAAGGCACAATCAGTGAAAGAAAGAATTGATAAGCTGGAGTTCACTAAAATGAAAAACTTCTGCTCTGCAAAAGACAATATCAAGAGAATCAGAAGACAAGCCATAGACTGGGAAAAATATTTGCAAAAAACATATCTGATAAAGGACAGTTATCCAAAATATACAAAGAACTCTTAAAAATCAACAATAAGGAATCAATTAACTTGATTAAAAAATGGCCCAAAGACCTTAATAGACACCTCACCAAAGAAGATATACAGATGGCAAACAAGTATGAAACGATGACATCATATGCCATCAGGAAATGCAAATCAAAACAAGAAGATACCACTACACACCTATTAGAACGGCCCAAATCCACAACACTGACAACAAAACTGCTAGTATGGATGTGGAGCAACAGGAACTCTCTTTCATTGCTGACAGGAATGCAAAAGTGGTACAGCGACTTTGGAAGACAGTTTGGCAGTTTCTTATACAACTAAACATACTCTCACCATATGATCCATCAATCGTGTTTCCTGGTATTTACCCAAAGGAGTTGAAAACTTATGTCTACACAAAAATCTGCACATGGATGTTCATAGCAGCTTTATTCATAACTGTCAAAACTTGGAAGCAACCAAGCTGTCCTTCAGTAGGTGAATGGATAAATAAACTGTGGTACATCCACACAATGGAATATTATTCAGCACTTAAAAGAAATGAGCTATCAAGCCATGAAAAGACATGGAGGAATCTTAAATGCATATTACTAAGTGAAAGAGGCCAATGTGAAAAGGCTACATACTGTATGATTCCAACTATAGGACATTCTGGAAAAGGCAAAACTATGGAGACATAAAAATATCAGTGGTTGCCAGGGGGTAGGGGAGAGATGAACAGGTAGAGCTCAGAAGATTTTTAGGGCAGTAAAATATTCTGTATGATATTATAATGATGGATATACGTCATTATACATTTGTCCAAACCCATAGAATGTCCAACACCAAGACTGAACCCTAAGGGAAACTATGAACATTGGGTGATTATGATGTGTCAATATAGGTTCATCTTTGGCAAAAAAATGTGCCATTCTGGTGAGTAATGTTGATAATGGAGGAGGCTATGCATGTGTGGGGGCAAGGGATATATGGGAAATCTCCATACCTCTATCTCAGTTTTGTTGTGAGCCTAAAGCTGCTTTAAAAGTAAGTCTTAAAAAAAGCTGATTATTTGAATATTAAGCTAAATCTATCCATTAAACTGGGAACCCTGGAAAAATCAAAACAGATTTAATGTGGTATATCACACTGATTGATTTGCAGATGTTGAACCACCCCTGCAACCTTGGAATAAATCCCACTTGATCATGGTGTGTGATCCTTTTAATGTATTGTTGTATTCGATTTGCCAATATGCTGAATACAACGCAGTCTATATAGAAATCGAAATATAATGATGTACACCTGAAATTTATATACTGTTATAAACCAATGTGACCTCAATTAAAAACAAACATTTAGGATCTTAATACTTCAAGTATCCTTAAACATTCCAAGTAATCTTCCTACTTTTTGGTATAGATCTCACATAAAATTTCTTATAGGAATATTTGCATGCTATTTTCATCTGTTTCTAGTGCATGGAAGGGGCAGAACGACAGCCTATTCTTTTCAGGAGAGTATGAACACATTATTATTGCATTTTACCACTCTTATACTGGCTGTTAATATCAGAGTGGACTAAAGCAGATATAAAAAAACCCATTTGTCACCAAATTAGTATGTTTTGAACCAGACAACCATGTTTTGCTTGCTGGAAGAATAGTGGAAAAGAATCAAGGGGCAGTAAGGCTCATCCTAGTTCCCATCTGTACTACTTGCTGCCATGTAAGTGAATGGAAATCAATGTCCAGGCACTGTTCTAAGCATCTCACATGCAGTAGCATTACCACTATACACATGAGATGCCACTGATTTAAAACTATACTGTTATCATGGACAATGTTCCATGGATTAAAGAGATTACTCTCTACAGGCACCTGCAATAAATTTTGGTTTTCAATCATGTTCCCTAGAGTAGAGTAGGTTCCCATAGTAGAGTAACAGAAACAATAATCCTTTAAAGATGAAGACAAAACAAAACTGTGAAGCTCCATTTACCATTTTCATCATGACCACTGGCTTCTGGTGTGCCCTGCCTCTGGTCCTCTTCGGGTGCCTCAGGGTAAATGACAGCAGTGTCTTGTTGTTGTAGGAACTCTTCAACATTAGGATCATGGTTTTGTTCATTTTCTGCATCTGAGTCACATTCATCATCTTTTACTAAAAGAAATGCATACTTTATAAAAGCAATTTCACCACCAAGTTGTTACAAAGTTTTTCTAAATAAGAAATTGTTTACCTTGAGAGAATACATGATTGTTCTTGAATTTGTAGGAAATATTTACTGAAAATTATAAACAAAATTCACTCATTCTGTTATAATCTATTAAGAAATATTTTTGTTTTTATAAATTTAAAGTGTTATAAAAATCTTAAAATTTTCACAATATCCCTTTTAAGCTTTAGAGTTGTACTTTTATTCCATTTTACTGATAAACGAGACATAGAGAAAGTAATAGAGTTGACTGAATTCTAAATTTCTCAATCAATGATGAAGCAAGGAAAAGAGAAAACTTTAGTTCTCAAACCTTAGCCCTTCCTAGCAACGTACTGTATCATATTTACTTAGAGCTGTATTTAAATCTGAATCATTCTCTACACAAACCACTCTGAAGTTCAGTTCAGTTACGTGATTTCTTAGAAAATAGCTTTATCCATTCGTCCCTTGATGGGCACTTAGGTTGCTTCCATAAAGAAGCTGTGGTATATATACACAATGGAATACTACTCAGCCATAAGAAACGACGAAATCCAGCCATTTGTGACAACATGGATGGACATTGAGGGTATAATGCAAAGTGAAATAAGTCAGAGGGAGAAGGCCAAATACCGTATGATTTCCTTCATTAAGTAGTAGATAATAACAACAATAAACAAACACATAGGGACAGAGATTGGATTGGTGGTTACCAGAGGGGAAGGGGGGAGGGTGGAGGGTGAAAGGGATAATTCGGTACATGTGTGTGGTGATGGGTTGTAATTAGTATTTTGGTGGTGAACATGATGTAGTCCATGCAGAAATAGAAGTACAATGATGTACACCTGAAATTTTTGCAATGTTATAAACCAATGTTACTGCAATAAAAAAAAAAAAAAAAAAAAAGAAAATAGCTTTAATAGTTATCTATAGTTAGACAGATTTCTGATAAGAGTCAAAGAGTATCAAATTGATAAAACTGCTTCTTATCTCCTCTAGTATTCATATACAAACAAGGCTATTCTTTATTTCTGCCTCAATAAATGTTTAACTGTGAGATTAAGGCAGAGGCATTTTTTCCCTGAGTTAGAAAGGTTCAGGAGCTCATAGAGCGTATTCCCTGTGAGCAGGGCCGGAGAGCACCCCGGAATTTCTAAAGCAGTGCTGCTACACTATGGTTTGCCCCATTGCTTCCAGCGGCTCCAGAGGACAGTGTCTGCTCCATGCTGGGGTAACTGTAAGTGTTAGCGTGGCTCCCAAGCATCTCACGGCTGACTTCTTTATACACTTCAGACTGAACTGTCAGTTCTAAATTTGTTAAACAGCACTTCGCAGAAGACTGAAATTGGGCCAAATTAAAATGGTGATGTATGCGCATCTTTTTGTTCAACAGTTATTAAACAATCTTGTTAAATCTTCTGCACAGTAGAAGTAACTGAACTCCCCAGGGTGGCTGCTGTTTAAAACCTTAGAGCCAATGACATAGTAATAATGGTGACCTGTTCAATTTCCCCCCTTTTTAATATAGCCAATAGCTATCAATCATTTAGCATCTGCTATATACTGAGAATTGTATTATCTAGTTCATGCCAACAGTGACCAAACTGGTGTTCCTGGATCCAGGGGTAAATGAAGACTCTAAAAGGTAAGCTGGTGCTGTTGGTTTTAAGGGAATCTATGTCCAGATCCTCCACTTTCATGTATGTTCTTAGAATCCTGAAGGTTCTTCCTTCTACCCTCCGTTTTTCACAGTACCCTTTGCTCCAACTTAAAAGAAAAAAGAAAAAAGGCATAATCCCTCCATCCACCCAGTACATTAATATGGTGCATTGTCTTGGAGTGTAAAAACCTCCAAATTGCCAAAGGAAAAAAAAAATAAAAATAGTGACAGGGGAAAACCTTTTTTATTGATTAATCAAGGCAACACAGAACCTCTATTGACCTTCCAGTCTTTCCCGTTTACATGGATTTCTATCAGGAGTAAAGCATGGCAACGGAAATAAGGATATTTTGGCCCTAGTTGGGAAGCTCTGAGATCAGCTATATAATGATAGGGAGGGAGAGTGATTTTCCTTTAATGGCCTCACCTGCTCCGCTCCCTAACTATTACTAAAGAATTCATTGCTCTTCAGGAGCCTGGTGAGAGCAAAGCAGAGTATTCCGAAAAATCGTTCCTAGGATCTGTCATTAGCTGGACAGATTTTTGAAGAGCTAAAGCAGTACAAGTCAGTGTCACTGAGTCTTTTCAATGTAACTTCAAACTTAAGCCAGATAAAACTCATGGATGAAATTTGTATTTTATGATTTCTTATAGATTCGATGTAAATTTCACAAATAGTTAAAAATATTTTTATCAAATCATATTATAAAATATTTATTTCAATTAAACAGCCTCCACTTATAAAATGCTTATATTTTCTATATCCTAGTATCTATATCTATATCTATCTCTCTATATGTTGCTGGAATAATGAGTTTTTAAATAGTATACCTTTTTCAGAATTATATAGTCTGTATTTTATACATGAACCTTGCATCTTCAATAAGTTATAAACTTAATTATACACTGACTGGTTCTAAATGTACTCTTTTGGAGACAAAGATTTTTATAACAAAAATTAGATTAGATTTATATAATCTTAATCTCACTATTGAAGAATCTACTTTTAAAAGATGCATTTATTTATACTTTATATATTCTCCTCATTATTTAGAATTTATATATTCCTCATAGAGGAAATTTTTATAAAATTCCTCAAAATGTATATTGATACATTTATTTGAATTAGACAAATGAAGACACACTTTTTTCTGACAGAAAATCTGATTTTGCTGATTGGTATAACAATGATAACTGGCTTTGCTAGTTAGGGTATTAGGTAGAAATTTTCCAGAAACTGAATGAACTAAGTCTGTAGCTCTAAGGTATTGATGAAAATATAGTTAGTTCATGTGGTAAGATAAAAGGATTTTTATAAAAAATGTATTGGCAAAAGGTACTGAAATGAATAATATTTCAATTTCCCCACTAATTTCTGAATATATTAAACAAAGTGCCTCTAGGTGAGGGGAAAAAAATAATAAAAGCCAAACAGAGGTATCATCACTCCTTTGATAAGTAAGGATGGGTAAAGCCTTTTTGGTATATGTCCCAGAAAATGAGGGAGTAAATGATTCTAATAACTGAGAAACAAGTCCTTCAGCGAATTAGGTGGCTTTGAATTTTTGCTTTCAACAAAATTGAAGTAGCATTTAATAGAATTGTCAGTTGACAGGACATTAAAAATATTTTTATTGATAGATAACCATAACTCTTTGCATTTAATTCTGAAGATGTGTAAAGAATTGAGTAACTCATTTATAACAAAAATGTATTTCATCTTTTTATTTATGAGAATAAGGCTATCCCAGTGCTAAACAAAAAATAACAGAATTAATGCTGAACATTTTTTCTTCTAGAAATAAGTAACATCAAACTATTGATATATGACCTAACTGAAAGATACTTCAGCTCCTTTAATCTCATTTCCAGTAACATTTTTCCTTAATAATTATTTATTAAAATTTGTAATGTACTCATGTTGTGATCAACTGTGCAGTACTAATAATTACAGGATAAATCAATCCATAAATTTTTTTTAAATCTTAAGAGCCTTGTGGTCCCTGGAAATTAAAGAGAAATTTCAATTTCAATTTATATACATGTTTTTCTTGTAAAGAAATGACAGTTGATCAAATATACCTTTACACAGGAAATATATACTATGTTAGCATGAGTTCAAGGAGTAAACATTATGATCTAACAATCATGACTTTTAAGGAAGAGCTTATTCATATGTTAAAAAAATGAATGATAGGTATTAAATTGCTATAGATTTCACATGTAAGAGTGATGTTAAAAACGGCATGTTTAATATGTCACAAGTTAGACTGTTAACTACTTACACTTAAAATGAAGAATTTTATATGTCTATTAAGAAATTTGTGAGGCAGTACATAGTTTTCAGAACATACATTTGGAGGATAATAATAGTACCTCTTAGGGTAGTTGTGAGAATTAAATTAATTAATGGGCTTAGTACTGTACCAGGCACATAGTAAGTGCTATGTACCTGTTAGCTATTTTCCTTTTTTTTTTTTTTTTGTGAGGAAAATCAGCCCTGAGCTAACACCCATGCTAATCCTCCTCTTTTTGCTGAGGAAGACCGGCTCTGAGCTAACACCTATTGCTAATCCGCCTCCTTTTTTTTTCCCCCAAAGCCCCAGTAGATAGTTGTTTGTCATAGTTGCACATCCTTCTAGTTGCTGTGTGTGGGACGCGGCCTCAGCATGGCCGGAGAAGCGGTGCGTCGGTGCGCGCCTGGGATCCGAACCCGGGCCGCCAGTAGCAGAGCGCGCGCACTTAACCGCTAAGCCACCGAGCCGGCACTAGCTATTTTCTTTAAAGCAGTCCTGCAAGCTGAGCACTATAATTCCGCAATTAAAATTTTTCCTAATAAAAAAATTAGAGTCAGAAAAGTTACGTAACTTTTCCAAAATCACACAGTAAAAAAGTATTACTATTAGAGCAGACAATTTGGTATTAGGCGTCTGGTATCAAATCCTGGGCTCTTTCTAACTATACTGTCTCCACAAACCTGCATTTACCAAACCAATTTCAAGCTGAGACCAGATATTCTGCAGTTTTACACATAAAATTTAAACTGCTGCATGTTGTGAAAAGGTCAATTATAAAGCAAAATTCCTAGTCTTAAGACAGATGAACTTATGTATTTAAATACCAGAAAGATAAGCAAATACACAGAAACATATAATGATAATTTGGTTTTCTTTTAGATATGACAAAACTCAGAGCTGATTGTCAAAGTATAAAACTATAGGGTCATAACCACAAATTAGAGAGAGCAAGCACGGAGAGACAAATGTTTACTATAAAGACTAAAACATTTTATTTAGCCATCAATATTTTATTTCCATTAGAATAAAGTATCCTTAGATTTCCTCCTATTTTTATCCTCCATCTTTGAAACTCTGTAAAACTATTAACTATATAAACGAAAAAGGGATGCTCTGAAGGAACAAAGGATGTTTTGCGTGGATTTTTGACTCTCTGAATACTAAGCTGAGACTACAGTTGTCCTAACTTCATGAATTACAAAAGGAAGTCAACTTTGTCAGAAAGGATCTGACAAAGTTCTGAACTAACGATGGTGACCTGTGAACAATGTTTTGTTTATTTTGTCAGCACATTATTCCCTAGAAGTCAAGGAAGTAACAGAAGCAAACGCAAAGCATAATTTTAAAGTTTAACTGCTCAAAAGTCTTAAACTAATTTCCATCCTTATTTACTTAAAACTACACATATTCAACTTTACTAAGGGTCTGCTTCCTCCTAACTCCCCATGTTCTGGGGAAACCCTGCAGCAGGGATCATCTTCTCGTTCCGCAGAGGGGGCGGTAACCGTAACGTCAGCAGCAACTTTCACTAATAGTACAAGGTTACTCTACTTTCAGATGTAATTCTTTTTTTTGAGAGAATTTATGTACTAATCAGTACTTCAAACTGAAAGAATTAATTTACGTTTGTAGTGAACAGCAAACTGAGGTAAAATACTATAAACTTGGAACTGTGAATGTCTTTTTCGATAGTATTTTGCCTAAAAGGGCAAACGATCTTCTGTCACTCTGGTAATAACTATCATCAAAGTTTAACATTAGGTAAAAGAGTAATAAACAGCATTCTTTTGTGTTCATTAACACTATTTTACTGACAACAAATATCCAGTTTAAATATTTTATGTAATGTGTAAGGCTCCCAAATATTTGATAACAAACATACCTGCATTCATTATTCATGCAAGTTAAACACAGCAAATTAAAGACTGAATATAAAATCTTAGGCTGCAGCACCATAAATTATCACATATTCCATTATTATTTAATTATTTTGGATGCACCTTTAATAACAGCACAAAGATTTACTCTTTGTTTTACAGAACCCACTGACAAGTATGGGAGTGCTAATGTTTATATTATAGGTGAAAATCTACTTTTGACACATTACTATGAAACATACTCATTTTACATAATAAAAGAATTTATATAGCTCTATGGAATATTCCTAAAATGCACTGCAAAGAAAAAAAACTATAAATGTTAAACCAAAGAAGAGACGAAAAAAACAGAAAATTTAATTAAAACTATGTGATAGCAATATCTAATTTATGGTTGAATATACAAAATATGATTATACTGCTTTCAAGTACTGTATTTTGAGGAAATGTTTAATAATTTGGAATTCAGTTTTGATATTTACATTCTATGCGTTCTAGCTGACTTACACGACAATAAAAAGTGCCTGGTAGTATCACACATAAGATCTGGATTTAAGTTTTCCACTTACTCTTTTGCTTCTTAAATCTGATTTGAATCCATTTTAGAGGAATAGCCTTAAGTCTCAGGGAGTATGTATTTTTAGTCACCTAGAAGCAAATTTCCTTGTTTATTATAATTCAACTTCATTTTGGCCTTTTTCAATCATAGAAATTACAAGAAAAAATTTTGATTCTCTTGTTTGCTGTGACATGTTATCTTAACATATCAATATTCATGATTCTCATCTGGTTTATAGATAATCCATGATATTTGCTTATTCTCTCTTCTGTTTTCTGTCTTGTGGGCAATTCACTGCAGATCCTGGTAACTAATAATGAAACTCAGAATAGTTAGATCTGCATTTCTATAACTTTGGTAAAAAATCTGATAGAAGTTCAAATCATCATTCAAACATTTATTTTTTGTATTTCTGTAGACTACTATACTTCTCATCCTTATAGAATGGAAAATCTGCTGTATTATGTGAATCTGTATGTTTACATTATATTTAAAGAATATAAACTAACTTTTCATACAGCACGCCATATGCCTAGCTACTTAAACACTTAAGGAGGCCAAGATAAAAGAGGAGGAAACACACCAAACTCAGGACTCACATGCAAAAACCAGTGACACAAAAGACCTTGTTCAAAGACTACATATGAAAGCAAATGGCAAGAGTGTACCTGTACATCCCGCTTCACCTGCCTGAGCTTCAGGCCCCAGGATTTCTTGTCCTTCCTTTCCTGCTAAAATCAAAGAACAAAGGATTAAACTAGATTCATGTGTCACAAACATTTTAACTTCTAGAAACCAAAAGGAAACTTTTAGATTATATTTAATTTGGACTTTTTCCTTACTGGAATTTTTCCTTTTTATAAGTATTGTAATGTGCCCTTGAAAAGTTTTTTAAAGAGATTAAGCAGGAAGCCTTACCAAACTCACAAACATATGACAGAGAAGCAATTAGTGCAGATTTATATACAATTCCAGAATTATACATATATTAGAATAATTGTATTGGGAGTTTAGTATTTTTCAGGTGAGGAGCTCTACCCATAGGTTGCACGATTCCTTTTTTCATTTCTTCCCCAAAGCACAAATTTCTATGTTCTAGGCGCTTTATAAATTTATTTCCTTTAACCTTCATAACAACCTGTTTTATAAGTTAAAAAAAACAAAACCCAAACTTGAGGCTCGAAGGGGTTAAATAACTTGCCCAAGGACACTCAGCTAGTAGGTCGTAGAGGTGGAATCTGAGTGAGGTCTGAAGGGCTCTGGAACCTGCTTTCCAGCACACCCCACCTGTCTAACTGAGGGCCAGCGCACCAGAAAACAGACGGGACCAAACTCGGCGTGTCCAGAGTGAACACGTAAGGCTCTCTACTTTTTCTTCCACTCTATTTATTATTCTAACTGCTGATAAATAGTAATGAGTAATAACAGTAGTACTGATCAACATTTTTAGATGTCTGTTATCCTCCTCTGCCACCTATATGTTTATTGTGGGCTGACTGAAGTATTCTATACAGAGTAAGTTCAGAGTAAATACGCATATTATTTGGCAACTAGAAAGTCTGCTTTACATATTTAGGTACATTTTATTTATTATAAGAGTTTATTAAGAGCATATGCATATATGAAAGATATGAAGGAGTTAAAAACTGCTTTTATTAAAATTATTAGCAGAGTATATTCCATAATTATGATCAGAATACTTAAAAAGTCATATAAAACATCATGTAGTTATCTGCACCCCAATCAAACCCCATTGAATATGTCAGTCAAAATCTTGATGTAGATTTCCCCTAAGTTTGATAATTGAATTGAGAGATGGAGCACTAATCAAGTAAAATCTTTGCGCAAATTAGAGCATGTATTTCTTTAAGTGCCTTGGATTATCGGGTAGATTTATTCAGCAGATTTTCTTTACTCATTAACTTTTATATTAGTACTTAAAGATGATCACTATGTGAAAAATAGTTAAAATATGCACAAACCTCTTTAGATCAGCATTAAAAACAGTGTCTAAAGTAGATAATGAGATTAACTTCTGCTGAAGAATTCTCATTTTATACTTGCCATCAGTCAAATGACAATTTAAAAATCCCTGGTAAAGTGTGTACAATACTGTGGGATAAACACCAGAGTTTGTGAAGTGTCTGAAAGTCTTTAACATCCTTTTTTTCTCTCTCTACAAAGCATTACTTAAACTAAAATAATAAATAGTATGCCAATTGGGTAATTATATGACAGTAATATAGTTACTTATTATTATATATCTATGCCCTTTATTTCTTCTCAAATGAAAATCAAAACAGCCAGAGTTGTTATCTGCTAAGGTGGAAGATAACACTGGTATTAAAGATTAAAATGATATTTTAGACACTACTAATTTTTCTACTAAAGTTATTATTATAGCTAATTTAAAAACTTTCTGCAATTCAATTAAATTATTTATTCACTTCTTCATTTCTACTTTCAATAAAATGTAGCCTCCCTGGATGAGCACTTAACATACTTCAAAATGTGGTCCCAGACTTATCTACCACAATTTAAAAACTGGAAATCTCCATTCTTTCTCTCATTATTGGGGCTGGAATTTCAGTTGAATAACTAAAACCATGTTTTCTAAAGAAAACAGAAAAGATCCCAATGCTAGCCTATAACATGAACACACCTCTTGCACTGCAGAGTGCTTCCCAGGGATAGGCTCCTTCCTGCGTCATCCATGGACCAGCAGGAGAGTGCATTGGAACAGGGTGTATTTTTCAAGCAGTATTCTCCCTCGTGTATTCTAATCTTACTTCTAGTTTAGGCAATATAAGGGGAGTAAAGTGGTAGAATCTACTCATACATAAGACTTTCTCTCCTGTAAGACTTAATAATGTCAACATATTATGGTTGACTAATCTAAATGCAATTTAGAAAGGAAAACTAGAATGCTTGTAAGGCTTTTGAGTTTAGTCTAAATTCCAAAGCAAATACATAAATGAGAAAGACTCTGAAGTAACAAGACTTTGTTTTTTCAAATAATGGCAAAATATAGCTGAAAAATAAGTCATGAAATACTACTCAGCAATAAAAAGGAAGAAACTATTGATACATGCAAGAACTTAGATGAATCTACAAGAAATAACGGAGAGTGAAAAAAGCCAATCCAAAAGTTACATACTCTATGATTCCATTTATATAACATTCTTGAAATGACAAAATTATAAAAACAGAGATTAGATAAGTGGTCGCCAAGGTTAGGGATGGGGTGGAGGGGAGAGGAGGAGAGGGTGGGTATAAAAGGCACCGAGGGAGCCCTGTGGTGATGGAATTGTTCTTTATCTCGCCTATATCAGTGTCCATACTCTGGTTGTGATATTGTACTATAGTTTTGAAAGATGTTACCACTGGGGGAAACCGGGTAAAAGGTACACAGGATCTCTGTATTATTCTGAATCTAAACTATTTGTGAATTATCTGTGAATCTATAATTATCTCAAAATTAAAAGTTTAATTAAAAAAGTCAAAGACAAATATTACAAATTCAGATCAAAAGAGATAGTGCTTGTTCGTTTTGCCATAAGATGAAATTCCTAGTAAGTAAAAACAAGGATGGCAAATGCAATTCATTTTTATCAAAAATCTGGAAGACGTACTATAAATGGGAAGATAGAACAGCTCAAAGTACAGGATCAATTATTTAGCACATGTTCTAAATTCTAAAACAAGAATTCCAAGTACCACTGAACTGTAAGTGATTCCTTCCACCTCCTGGCCTGGATTCAAGGCAGCCTAAAACCTAGAAGTGGGCACTGGGGCATGGCAGAGAGAGCTCTAGGAAAAATCCTCTAATTTAGGCTCAAGGAGCAGGAAAGGGCTCAAAGAAGGGAAAAATACTCATTTTTTCCCTCTAGTCTCTCGTGTCGCAGCCCCAAGGTCATCACAAGGTAGTAGCAGAGATCATGGTGACAACAAGGGCCTAAAGGTACCTAAGACTCCAAGGGAGGGGAACTTTGTTCTCCAATCAGAGCAGTGGCCCCAAGAGGACAGTACAAACTTCCATTGAGTTCTTCCTCCTCCTGTCTTCTTGCAGCTCTTCTTCCTGCAACCATAGTTGCAGGAAGTATGTGGCTAAGTATGGCAAATAAAGGCCCAGATTTTTGGATAAAAGACTGAAAAGGAGAGTCTCAGGGAACTGAAAGCACTGGGGAGATCATGGAAAGGGAGGAGCACAGGAAAGTGACCCCATAAAGTTGTTTGTGAACTCCTGGGTTCATGCCCAAACTTCAGGTGTGGATCTGACCATAAACTTTGAGAACTGAAGTACAAAATAAGAGCTGCCACTGTGTGGCACAGATCTGAAAAGCACTGCAAAGGCTTTGAAAACTAAACTCATATTTGAACCACAACCCACAGAAAGTTGGCTGGAACTTACAGCCTGATATAACTGAGTAAGTTGCCTGCTAAACCAAAAATATATAAATTCTCTACAGGGTTTAAATAAGACCAAGAGTCTCATAAGATAATACTCAAAACGTCCAGGATACAATCCAAAATTACTTCGCATATGAAGAACCAGAAAAATCTCAACTTCTACAGGAAAAAACGATCAAAAGATGGCAACACTGAGAAGTCACAGATGTTGAAATTATAACACAAAAACTTTAAGCCAGCTATTATACAAGTGCTCCAAGAAGTAAGGGTAACTTGAAAAGAGTGGAAAGACATAAAGGCTCAGCAAATTCTCATCAGCAAACAGAAGATATAAATAAGAACCAAAAGGAAGTTTTAGAACTAAAAATACAGTAACAAAAATTTTTAAAAAATCACTGGATGAGATCAATACCAAAATGGAGATGAAAGAGGAAAGATCAGTGAACTTGACAGTATACCAATTCCAATCTGAACAGAGAGTAAAAAGATTATAAAAATAAACAGAGTATCAGAGATGTATGGCACAACAAAAAAATGTCTAACATTGCTGTCATTGGAGTACCAGAAGGAGAAGAGAGAGTATGATGCAGAAAAAAAATTTGAAGAAATAATGCCCAAAAACTTTCCCAGTTTAACAAAAGACACAAACCAATAGATTCAAGAAGTTAACTGAATCTCGAACAGGATAAAGCCCCAAACATCCAGGTCTAGACCATCAATCAAACTCTGAAAAGTAAAGTTAAAAAAAAATCCTGAAAAGAGCCAGAGAAAGTGATACATAACCATAAGGGAACAATGATTTAAAAGACAGCAGATTTATCATTATAAATCAAGGATTCCATAAGGAAGTGGAACATTTTTAAAGTGCTAAAAGAAAAAACTCTTAACCCAAAATTCTATCGCCAGTGAAAATATACTTCAGAAACAAAGGTAAAATAAAGACCTTCTCAGATGAAGAAAAACTAACAGAGTTCATTGCCAGCAGACCTGATCTAAAAGAACTGCTAAAGGAAGATCTTCAGAAGGAACGAGAAATGACATGAGAGGGAAATTTGGAATGTCAGGAATAAAAGAGAACAAGAGAAATGATGTGGTACATATGACAACTACAACACAAAGGAGAGAGGATAATGGAATCTATATGGAGGTAAGGTTTCTATATTTCACTTGGAGTGGTAAAATACTGATTCTAAGGAGACTGACAGAAAAGTTAAGTACGTACATTCTAATCTATAGAGCAACTAATAAAAAATCTATAGAAAGAGAAATAGTCAAAAATGAAATAAATAAATGAAAATGGAATACTAAAACATATTCAAAT